CTTTCGTGACTGCAGGGGTTCATCTTCTTGGTTCTTTCGGTAAAGTCACGTAGAAGGGCAATAATAAAAACATTAAAATAAAACATAATAAAATAATTATGTTCTTCGCCTGAGGACGGCTGCTTGCGTTGTGGCCGAAACGTAGTGAGAATTGTGTGCTGGCAACACACACACACATACAAGCATCTGTGTGTGTGTGCGTGAACGATCATTTGTGGTTGTATGTGTGTGTGTGTGATGGGCCGTAATATCGATCAGAAAAGGAGGGATTACAGTGCTTCCAGTATAGATTGAAAGAGCTTGGAAGTCATTGGGGGGCACTGTGGATACCTGCCCGCGAATTGAATGGGAGAAAGAGAGGCGAGAGAGGCGAGCTACTGAGGCCACACACAACCACACAAAAAAACAATCAAATACAACGAATGCCAAATGGCCCGGGCGCCGTCCCAGCGGCCCCCGTGTCTCTCCCCGGCGCTCGCGCGACAATCATCTCAACAGCTGTCCCACGGGGGGGGGGGGGGGGCTGGGGAGGAGGAGATGAGAGGAGGGGGGGGGGGTAGAATTGCCACGGGTAGGGTGATTCTGCCCTACGTAGCGCCCCCCCTCTCCCACCACCACAACGGGAATCAACCTCAGACCTCCAGCCACGAGCCTCCAGTTTGAGCCTCCAGCCCCGGACCTCCAGCCCCAGACCTCCAGCCCCAGACCTCCATCCCCAGACCTCCATCCCCAGACCTCCATCCTCAGACCTCCATCCTCAGACCTCCAGCCCCAGACCTCCATCCCCAGACCTCCATCCTCAGACCTCCATCCTCAGACCTCCAGCCCCAGACCTCCATCCCCAGACCTCCATCCCCGGACCTCCATCCCCAGACCTCCAGCCCCGAGCCTCCATCCCCAGACCTCCATCCCCAGACCTCCATCCCCAGACCTCCATCCCCAGACCTCCATCCACAGACCTCCATCCCCAGACCTCCATCCCCAGACCTCCATCCCCAGAACTCCATCCCCAGACCTCCATCCCCAGACCTCCATCCACAGACCTCCATCCCCAGACCTCCATCCCCAGACCTCCATCCCCAGACCTCCATCCCCAGACCTCCATCCCCAGACCTCCAGCCCCGCACCTCCAACCCCGAGACTCCTGCCTGGGCTTCCAGGAGTAACCACTGGGCATCACCGCTCATCCACTGCTGCACGGCGGCCGCAGGCGCGAGGTGTGGACATTCCACGTTTGGCGCGTGGGCCAGGGAGCGGTTCGCGGGGCAGGGAGCGGTTCGCAGTGTCTCCGCAGGACACGCCGGGCCACTCGCCTGTTCCACTTGCCCGTGGGTCGTGGTGGTCGTGGTGGTGGTGGTGATGGTGGTGGTGGTGATGGTGGTGGTGGTGGTGATGGAGGTGGTGGTGGTGGTGGTGATGGAGGTGGTGGTGGGGATGATGGAGGTGGTGATGGAGGTGGTGGTGGTGGTGATGGAGGTGGTGGTGGAGGGGGGCGGGGGGGGGCGCAATGTGAGCAGAGCCGTCTCTCCCGCCAGGATTTTGAAGCTTCCCTGTTTTTTTGTCAATAAGTGGGGGGGGGGGGGGGGGGGACAGCATCCACATCGATTAACGATTCGCATGTTTCGTCCCACTGAGCACTGCTGAAAGGAGACCAGCGGGCAGCATCTCAAGAACTCCCAAACACCGCATCTCCTCTCAATCTTTACAATGCCCGGCTGACATTTTCTTTTTTTTAAATGCCTAGGGGGATGGGAGGGAGGGGGGACCCCCTCCTCGCCCCCCAGTGGGAGCTGCCCCTGTGTGGCACAAAGTGATGCGGCACCTGGCCGGCAAGTCCCCAACTCCCTCCGTTGTCTTGCCTCGGGGGGCTGAAAACCAAATCCGTGTGCCTACAGAATCGTCTCCGATATTTGTGGACGGTTATTAACGCCTCTTCAGAGTTAAAACCATCATGGTCGTCATCTTCCTTGTTATCCTCGGTAGTACTTTTGCCAGTCCGCTGCCAGATGAAAGTCTCCCCAGGGCGTGCGCGGCGCCGGTGATGTTCGACCGGCACTGAAGGTCCGCTAGAGACGTTGACTCTCCTCCACGCCTGTTGGCCGTGGCTGGGAATTGAACTCGGCTCTCTGGGTTGATAGCATCGCCCGTCACACACTACCCCACCGCAGAGCTCAATCGTGCAGAGATAATTTATTATTTATAATTATCTTCCAATGAACACGGAATTCGGGAGACTCTCCGATGATCTAAACCAGCGGGCGGCAACCAGCGGCTCCGGGAGCGGCACGCGGTGCCTCGTTCAGGGCTGCTGCAGCAGCAGCGGCTCCTGAGATTCTCGTAAAAAATGTGGCGCTTCGAGTTATTGTGGTTGCCGATCCCGGACCATGGGAGTCTAGCTCACCATGGAAGTCCAGTTTATGGTGGAAGTCCAGTTTACCATGGAAGTCCAGTTTACCATGGAAGTCCAATTTACCATGGGAGTCCAGTTTACAAAGGGAGTCCAGTTCACCATGGGAGTCCAGTTTACAAAGGGAGTCCAGTTCACCATGGGAGTCCAGTTCACCATGGGAGTCCAGTTTACAAAGGGAGTCCAGTTCACCATGGAAGTCCAGTTCACCATGGAAGTCCAGTTCACCATGGGAGTCCAGTTCACCATGGAAGTCCAATTCACCATGGGAGTCCAGTTCACCATGGGCAGGGCTCAGCAATCTGCGGCTCCAGGAGCCGCGTGCGTAGCTCACCAAGGGACCGCCACGACCCGTCTCGTAATCACCGCCACAGTTCACTGCGGCTGCTCTGCACGACCGCCATTCGCCACTAAGTGGCGGTGACGTCACCACGACGCTTGTGCCAGGCTATGTGCACCTTGAGGCCACGTGAAATGTCGAACGCCCGCTGGCAGGAGGTCACGGGTCGACTGACTGAGATGAGTGGCTGATGCACCACCTGTGCCCCCTACTGCTTTTCATGACCTGCACCCAGCGATGTAGATGGGGGGGCAAACCCAACGGCATCGTCAATGGAACAGGTCGCGAGTGGCGGTGGGCTAAAGCGTGGTTAATTCGCGTCTTCGTGTGGCTGGCGTTGTTGACTTGGAGCCGCAGCTGTGATTCGACATGGAGGTGGTTGATGAGCCGGATGATTGCGTCTGGAGTAGCAGAGTGGTGAATCATCGTCGCTGTGGTGACGATGATTAATGTAATTACATGTTTATGAATCTGAAAAAAAAACGACTTCATGGAGATATTTGAGTACGTTTTTTGGGCTCTGTGTGAGTCTATGGATCTCTGTGTGAGTATATGGGTCTTTGTGTGAGTCTCTGGGTTTCTGTGTGAATCTATATGTCGCTGTGTGAGTCTATGAGTCTGCATATGAGTATCTGGGTCTCTATGTGAGTCTACGGGTCTTTGTGTGAGTCTATGGGTCTCTATGTGCGTCTATGGGTCTCTGTGTGAGTCTACATGTCTCTGTGTGAGTTTACAGGTCTCTGTGTGAGTTTATGAGTCTATATATGAGTCTCTATGTGCTGTCTATGGGTCTCTATGTGAGCCTATTGGTCTCTGTGTGAGTTTACAGGTCTCTGTGTGAGTTTACAGGTCTCTGTGTGAGTCTATGAGTCTATATATGAGTCTCTATGTGCTGTCTATGGGTCTCTATGTGCGTCTATGGGTCTCTGTGTGAGTTTACAGGTCTCTGTGTGAATCTATGAGTCTGTATATGAGTCCATGGGTCTCTATGTGCTGTCTATGGGTCTCTATGTGAGTCTATTGGTCTCTGTGTGAGTCAATGGGTCTCAGTGTGAATCTACAGGCATCTTCTTCATACGGATGAGGATGATGATGATGATGGTGCAGAACCACATCTGTGATTCCACGTGGAGGTGGTGGATGGGCCGGCTGATCGCGACCAGCAGCGGCGCGGAGCGGTGATTCACCATCGCTGCTGTGATGCTGCCCAAGCAGCAGAGCATTGGGCCACGTGTGTTCATCACGTGACTACTTTATTAATCGTCTGCGTCGGGTGGCGGATGTCTGTACGACACAACAATGTTCACCTACCTCTCTATGACCCCCCCCCCCCCCCAAAAAAAAACCCCCACGTATGTTGCCAACGTGCGTTCGCATTGCGTGTGTTTTTATTATTTTCAATTGCTGATTTTGTTGTTGCATTATATCGATGTGTTTTTGTTTACACCCAGGAAGGCCGGCCGGCTAGCCGTGGGGTCACCGGGTCACGGGCGTGAGGCGCCCGGCGATGCCGTCGCGAGCAAAGCTGCAACGAGCCCGAGGCCCCGACGAGACGGCCTCCCTCGCGGGCGCCGCGCTCTGAGGGCGCCACTCCGATGGACCCTGGAATGACGCCCGGAGCTCCGTTCCTTGACGCCCGTGTTGTACTCCCTGCGAGAAGAACACCGCAGGGCCGTTACGTCGCCGTTCGCGGAACAATTCTGTTTCGCACGGCGGCGAGGTAGCTGACGCCCTCGTGATCGCTAACCACAACCCACAACCACCACCACTGCCGTCACTACCACAACCACCGCCAACACCACCGCCACCACTGCTATCACTACTACAACCACCACCAACACCGCCACCACCACCACTGCCACCACGAACACCACTGCCGTCACTATCACAACCGCCACCAGCACCAACCATCATCGCCACTACCACCACCAACACCACCAACACCGCCAACACCGCCACCACCAACACCACCAACACCACCCCGGCCACCACCGCCGCCCGTGTGAAGACCCCAAGCTGTGAGCCCCCAACGATGTCTCGGTGGCTGCGTGCCCTCCGGGCGGCCGGGCGCTAGGTGGGTGGTGAATGGTGGGTGGGTGGTGGGTGGTGAATGGTGGGTGGGTGGGTGGTGGGTGGTGGGGGAGGCGGTGGAGAGAACCCCGCCAGGAATTCGACGCCGCTCCAAGTGAACGGGAGGGGTTGCGGAGATCGATCCGATTGCGGGGTGGGGGCGTGGTGGAGGGGAGGGAATAAAATCGATTTGCAAATCAAGAATCAAATTCAATGAAATAGCTACCTCCTCGATGAGCCGCGTCACCATACAATAATTACAATTATAATAATTACATCATCATCATTTAGTTACGGACCAATCAGTGACCAGGAATTGAACTGTACAATTCAGATCACGAGGCAAGCCCTCTGAACGCAAGTTGAATATTTACGTTGCGCAGACAACAACAATAGCAACAACAACAGCAGCAGCAACAACAACAACGGCACCTATGCCCCTGTGAGTCTGAAGACTGCTCCTGCTCGAGAGGGTCACGTGTGGAGGCTGCACTGGCCAGAGGGGACGCCTACTTGCTGTACTGCCATCGTTTGGCCAGCCTTGCCTGGAAGGTCTCACGCAGCATTCACAATTCGCTCCGCCAACTCCCACCACCACCTACCACCACCCACCGCCACCACCACCACCGACCACCACCCACCGCCACCACCACCCACCCGAAGCGCTAGCTATTGAGCTCGGCACTCCAAGTCACTAAGACACCAGTTGCGAGGCACTTTGCGCTAGCAACAGGCAAGGCAGGCACTCGCATAGAGACCGAACTTTCTGCACGCTAGCAATAAGGCACTTAGACGCGAGCTCCTCGCCATGAGCCACTGAAGATGAGCAATAGACATTTTAGGCATTCGACGCGAGCAATGTACAAAGTAGGCACTTGCCATAGGCACCAGCAATAGGCGTCATAGACAGCGGGCACTAGCAATAGGCATTGCACAATAGGCGCCAGCAAGAGGCACTGGCATACAACAATAATAGTCGCTGGTCACTGGAGATTCTGTGTGGATCATCGTCACTTGAAAAAGAGGAAGGGATATCGAAGTTCATTCTGTGATATCCACTTGCACGGGCCGTTGTGTGTGGATCAGTGCCACTTGAAAACGAAGAAAGGAGCTGAGAAGTAGCTCTGTGACCTCCGCTTCCACGGGTCGTTCTGAGTGGAGCAGAGAAGAAGAAGAAGCGTGTTGTTGTTGTTGTTGCTTCTGCCGCCGCCATGCTGGCGAGGATGCGGCCTGGCCGCCGTGGCTCCCCCGCCACGCTGCTGCCGCTGCTGCTCGTGTCCACGGCGCTGGCCGTGACCACCATGGTGGCTCGCCTGGGCCGCGCCTCGGCCTGCCCGGCGCGCTGCGACTGCTCGCCCCACAACCGCTCGGTGGTCTGCCACCGGCGGCGCCTCGCCTCCATCCCCGAGGGGATCCCCACGGAGACGCGCTCGCTCGACCTCAGCAAGAACCGCATCCGGGCGCTGGCCGCCGACGACTTCGCCGCCTTCCCGCTGCTCGAGGAGGTCGACGTGAGCGAGAACGTGCTGGCGAGCGTCGAGGACGGCGCCTTCAACAACCTGCCCAACCTGCGCTCGCTGCGCCTGCGGAGCAACCGCCTCAAGCTCATCCCCCTGGGCGCCTTCGCGGGCCTGGGCAACCTCACGCACCTCGACATCAGCGACAACCGCGTCGTCGTCCTCCTCGACCTCATGTTCGCCGACCTGCGCAGCCTGCGCTCGCTGGACGTGGGCGACAACGAGCTGGTGTACGTGTCGCAGCGCGCCGTCGCCGGCCTGCACAGCCTCGAGCACCTGGCGCTCGAGCGCTGCAACCTCACCTCGGTGCCGGCCGACGCGCTCTCCCACCTGCACCGGCTGCTGTCGCTGCGGCTGCGCCACCTGGGCATCGGCGCCGTGCCGCCCTACGCGCTGCGCCGCCTGTCGCGCCTCAAGACGCTCGAGGTGGAGCACTGGCCCCTGCTCGAGGCGCTGGCGCCCAACAGCCTCTACGGGCTCAACCTGACGCGCCTCGCCGTCACGCACTGCAACCTGACGGCCGTGCCCTACGCGGCGCTGCGCCACCTCGTCTACCTGCGGCTGCTCGACCTCTCCTTCAACCCCATCGCCGCCATCGAGGGCCGCCTGCTCGTGGACCTGGCGCGCCTCCAGGAGCTGCACCTGGCGGGCGCGCGGCTCGCCACCGTGGAGGCCCGCGCCTTCCACGGCCTCGGCCGCCTGCGGCTGCTCAACGTGTCGGGCAACCGCCTGGACACGCTCGAGGAGGCCGCCTTCCAGTCGGTGGCCAACCTCGCCGTGCTGCGCCTCGACGGCAACCCGCTCGCCTGCGACTGCCGCCTGCTGTGGCTGCTGCGCCGACGCCGGCGCCTGAGCTTCGACGGCGCGCAGCCGGCGTGCGCCGCGCCCGACGGCGTCCGCGGCTGGGAGTTCCGCAACTTCCCCGACGTCCTCCTGCCCGACTACTTCACCTGCCGCCGCCCGCGGATCCTCGACGAGGCCGGCGCCGCAGCCGCCGCGCCGGCCTCGTCGTCGGCGTCGTCGGCGCCGCCGCCGCCCCCCGGGTCGTCGCCGTCGCGCTGGAGGAGCGCCGTGGTGGACGAGGGCCACAGCGCCGTGTTCCCGTGCCGCGCCGAGGGCGACCCGCCGCCCCGGGTCTTCTGGCTGTCGCCGCAGAGGGCCGCGCTGACGGCGCGGGGCAACGGCCGCATGCTCGTGTCGCCCGACGGCGCCCTGGAGGTGCGCTACGCGCAGCCGGGCGACGGCGGCGTGTACACGTGCGTGGCGGCCAACGCGGGCGGCAACGACACCCTGGCGGTGCGACTCGCCGTGCGGGGCCACGCGGGCGCCGACCACTTCCTGCACATGGCCAGGACCACGCCGCTGGTGGACGGCGCGGCCAGGCCGGGCCACGGCGACAACGGCAGCTGGGACGACGACGGCGGCAGCGGCGGCGGAGGGAGCGGCGACGTGGCGCTGCCCCACAAGAGGTTCCTGCTCAACCTGCAGACGGTGCTCGTGGCCACGGCCATGGGGTGCTGCTCCTTCCTGGGCGTCGTGCTGCTCTGCCTGCTGCTCCTGTTCGTCTGGAGCCGCGCCAAGGGGCGCGTGAAGAAGACCTTCGACGTGGGACACGTGCCGCGCTGCAGCCAAGAAGGCGGCGGCGGCGGCGGCGGCGCCGAGCCGAGGACATTCAGCACCCGCATGATGTAGGAGGCGGCCTGAAGAGAGCCGCCGTTGTGACGTCGTCGCCGCCGTCGTTGTGACGTCATCGCCGTCGTCATCGGCTTCATCGTCACGTTGATCGGCAGCGGCAGCAGCAGCAGCATCAACACAGGAGTCGTCGTTCTATTTCTCATTACCACTGTCACGGCACCAATGTGATCGTCAGTAGCAGTCAGAATGAGAATGTGTGTTGACGCTGATGAGCTTCGAAGTTCCTTCTCGCAGATGTCCGGTGGGCAACGGCATCGTTGTTTCTCATCATCATCATCAGCAGCAGCAGCATCGGGCAATCATCAATGCGATCTTTATCAGCAGCAGCAGCAGCATCGCTATGTCTCATCATCAACATGCATTTGTTACGAGTTGTCTTCACTATTGTATAATCATCATGACTTCTTCATCATCATTATCATCGTGGGGTCGATAAATAAGTACAACTTCGTAAGGCTGCACTGCAATTATATTGCTGACTCTGTATGAACTCACGTTGTAAAATCTTTAAATAAATCGTGTAATAATAATAATGCTAAGACAGCCCGTACGTCCAGTAAAGCTTCACGCTGAGTCTAATTACTCATCGTTCAAGAGGGTCCTGCACGGAGATGTTTGGCACAATCTTAAATGACAATTTTATCCGATTTGGCTCGTCAGGTGTTGGAGGGTAGTTCCAATACAAAACTTGGCAGGATCCTCTTGAAAACGAGTCCTCTGAACTCAGCGAGGCTACAGTGGCTGAACGATAACAATAACAATACAGCAAGTCCTCGTTTAACGCGCTCGTCTTAGTAGATGCGTTCATAAAAAGTGCCGCGCGAATAAAAAAAACACTTGGCGAAAACAAACTCCCCATCGGTGATGTAACAACGACGACGTTTGTCGAGACGCGACGCGATCACGACGACGACTACCGCCGCGCACGCACGCGGTGAGATCGCGGGACACGTAGCCAAGGGCGCGTCACCACCACGTGACCGTATCACTCAGCGTTAGCGCATCGCTGTGCACAGGCTCAGCCGTGGCGCAGCTCAATAAAGTAGTTCGTCGTAAATTGCTGAGAAACCGCGCCATAACGGTGCACGCATTCCGTGTTATAGCGGTGGACGCATTCCGTGTTATAACGATGGATGCGTTCCGCGCTATACCTGTGCACGCGTTATAACGGTGCCCGTTCCGCGTTATAACGGGGTTGGGGGGGGGGGGGGGTGAGGCGCGTTCCGCCGTTGTGCTGGAAGCGTTCCCTAGAGGAAATCGAACGGCGCAAGGGTGAAATGCGACGCTTCAAGCGGCGAGGAGGCGCCCTGCCTCTGTGTCTGAGAGTGTGTGTGTGAGAGTGTGTGTGAGAGTGTGTGTGTATGAGAGCGTGTGTATGAGAGCGTGTGTGTGAGAGTGTGTGTGTGTGAGAGTGTGTGTGTATGAGAGCATGTGTGTGAGAGCGTGTGTGTGAGAGTGTGTGTGAGAGTGTGTGTGTGTGAGAGTGTGTGTGTGTGTGAGAGTGTGTGTGAGTGTGTGTGTGAGAGTGTGTGTGTGAGAGAGTGTGAGAGTGTGTGTGTGAGAGTGTGTGTGAGTGTGGGAGAGTGATTATCGTGTTTGCGGCTCAATTATTATTGGCGTGATTGCGCGCGCCACGCCAAGTCCTCCTGCAGGTGTGCGGACGTTGATGAGTCGTTGGGAATCACAAATTGCCGTCCTCGTCCACGTGCTTCTGGAAGGGAAGAGAGGACGACGTGTCCCGTCCAATTGCTTTGACGCAACGTTTTTTTTAGTTTGAGTCCGCGTGATTCCATCGCCCTAATTTGCAAGGCCCTCCGTGCGGGTTTTGTGATGATATTACATGTTTGAATTTGTAAATATGTTGATTCCGCGCAGAGATCTCCTCTCGGTAGCAAGGTCGTGGGTATTGTCAACTCAGCAATATCACCATCATCAGCTTCGCCACCAAACATCCATCATCGTCATCAACAT